TGTTTGTTTTTGTCCGAGCTAGTTGACATTCCTGAGATGCTGGTTTCTCTAGCTCCAAGTCTAGAATTATATGGGGTCGGGGGAAATCCCAAGAAAATCACTGCCATGTCACTCCTTGGACTGCAAGGTCCTTTGATGTCCTTCCTTCTTCTCTTAGCCTTTAAATCTTTGTGTTTGTTTTACAGATTAATGTCCAGTGCTTGGTGGGAGACACAGAGAATAATAGGCATCTACTCTATCTTCCTAGACATGGAAACGCCACGTTCTTTTGAACGCAGTGTGGAACCCAAAACATGGTATGGCACTGCCTTCCACCCCATTTCTATCTGCTTACGGAATTAAATGTGTTTAAATTTTAGTTAAAATGTGTGTGTGTGTGTGCGCGCGTGCGCGCACACACACACAGGCACACATGAGAGAGAGAGACACACACACGCTATTTCGGATGCTATAAAAAGAATGCCTTAAACTAAGTAACTTATAAACAATGAAAACTTATTTCTCACAGTTCTGGATGCTGAAGTCCAAGATCAAGGTGCTAACAGACTTGGGTGTCTAGTGAGGGTCTGTATCATTTGTTCATCGATGATGCCTCCTTGCTATGTCCCCACATGGTAGAAGGGGTGAGGAAGTCTGGGGCCTCATTTCTAAGGAGAGAATCCACTGATGAGGGCTCTGCCTTCATAACCTAATCACCGCCCAACACCATCATATTGATGATCAACATATAAATGTGGGGGACACAAACATTCAGACCAAAGGAGGATATGTATATGTATAATAGAATAAATTCTGAAGCATAAAAGAGTCCTAAGCAAGAATGGGCTCAGATTTAAGACAGGAGGACCTGCTGATCTTGGCAGTGGGGCATCCATGATCCCCCTAGTGCTGAGTCTGGGCCTCACTGGCCACCAATCTGTTCTTCCTTTTCCCAGCTCAGAATTGAGACAAAGTCGGTTCAGGACACACAGCCTCTGGCAGGCAGTGCAGAGCAAACCTCCAAATGTCTCCCATCTAGAGGCCTGACTGTGAAGCCCCTGCCAGCTCACCTGTAATAGGGACACCTTTACAGAGAGACGCTGCCAAGGTTTGGCAGAGGCTGCCAGAGGCCCACGGGAGTTGCCATCAGGGCATACCTGTACTAGAGGCCAAGGCCTCTCCAACTCCAGTGAGACTCTTGTTTTCCTTTTATAGATAACTTGCCTAGTCCTCCTGGCAGCAGGTCCAGGTCTCAGGTTCTCTCCATGGCCCCTTCTGCCTGAAATCTGGGGTTGTTTTGAAGGTGTTTTTCTTGCATCCTGTGACACATGTTTATAGTTCATTGAAAAAAAAGTTTGATGACTATCCTTGTGTCTATATATTTACGTAGTATTTTAATTATTTCCTTAGGAAAAAAATCCAAGAGCTGGAGATGCTGAGTCAGAAAGTCTGCAGTTTTATAGTCTAAATTATATTGTGTAAATATTATGACAGGCCTGTGAACTTATGCTAGCTATTTCCGCACATACTGGCCAAAATAGAGTAAAATGTAAGAAAACAGCAACATATTTGATTTTTAGACTATTGATCTTGTATACTGTGACTTTTTTAAACTCCTTTATTTTGTAAGTTTTTAGCAGATTTCTTTTTTTTTTTTTTTACATTTATTTATTTATTTATATGTGGTACTGAGGATTGAACCCAGGGCCTCACATGTGCTAGGCGAGCACTTTACCACTGAGCTACAACCTCAGCCCATTTAGCAGATTTCTTTTTCTTTTTATTAGTTGCTCATGACAATACAATGATCTTGACATATCATACATTTGAATCAAATGGGGTATAATTTCTCATTTTTCCAAGTGTACAGGGTTAGGGTTAGCAGATTTCTTAACATTGATTTTACATAGATCATTCATTCATCTACAAATAGAAATAGTTTTGCTTCTTTCTCTAATTTGGATGCCTCTTACTTCTTGTCCTTGACCAACTTTCCTAGCTAGAACTTCCAGTGTGAGGCAGATTAGAGCTGGAGGGACTGGACCCTCTCATCGTATTCCTTATCTTACGTTGAAAGCATCAGTCTTTCACCTTTAAGTATGATATTAACTGTGAGCTCTTCCAAGGAACCCTTTCTCAGGTTGAAGAATTTCCTTTCTAAGATAATAGAATGAAACAGACATTATTACTTTATGTATGTATTTGACTATATGACCAATGTGATTCTACAATATATATAATCAGAAAAATGAGAAATTATATCCCATCTATGTATGATATATCAAAGTATATACGTGCATTCTACTGTCATGTATAACTAACTAAAACAAATAAAAATTTTTAAAAAAGATTTTCCTTTCTATTCCTAACTTTATGTTTTCATCATTTAAGGGTATTGGATTTTCTCAAATGCTTTTAATTCATTAAGAGATGATCATGTGATTGTTTTTTATTCTCCTGATATAGTGCATTATATTAGTTGATCTGGAGGTGAAATCAATATGGCATTCCTTGATGGTGGTATACAATTCTATTTATATATTGCCAAATACGGTTTATGGTTTACTAATACTGTGCTGAGAATTTATATCTATCTTTGCTTTAGTCAGCTTTTTGTTGCTGTGACCAAAATGCCTGGCAAGAATAACTTTGGAGGAAATACCAATGGGTGGATAATGACTCCACAAAGAGATTATGGGTGTGACTTATCCATCTATGATGCCATCTCAGGAGAAGATGGGAATAGAGATGGGATTATACCTGAATGGAAAATGGAACAGAGATGGGTTAAAATGAATGAAAGCTTTTGGACCTCTAGGCTTCCACAGGATGGGCCAATAGAATGGTCAAACTGTGAAAAAGTGTAATCCTTGGAGAAAGGAGAATAAAGATTCCAAAGATGAGGCTTTCACCTTAATGGTTTTATGGGGTAGGTTTATCTTCCAGGCTTCAGCACAACAGGTTGCCATTCAGTGCCACAGGGGCAGGGCTACTGCCCAAGGCTGCAGAGGGGACTCTGCTACTCAGAGCTAAGGAGGTGGGACTCCTTTCTAGGGCAGTGAGGGTAATACTGCTGCCCCATTAGTCCCTGAAAGTCAGGATGCCCACCTGACGTCTCTTGGATCTCCAGGAGATTGTTGAACCAAAGAGGATTATTCTAGTGCCTGAAAATCTAATGAAATTTGTCCTGCTAGCTTTCAGTTTTTCTTGGGATCCCTTTTTTCTTTTTTTGCAATAAGAATGTCTATTGTGTGCTTTTTCCACCACTGTATTTGGGAACTAGATAATTTTCCTGGTTTCATGGTTTAGCAGCCGGAGAGGAATTTTGTCTCAGGATGAATCATACCTCAAGTTTTATTCACATTTCATTTAGATGATATTTAAATTAGATATTAAACTTAGAGGCGATGCTACAATGGGTTAAGATTTTTGGGTTGTTGAGATGTGGGTGAACGTGCGTAAGAAGAACACAAATATTGGGGTCCAGAGGACAGAGTGTTATGAACTCAGTTACATTCTTCCGAACTTCACAAGTTGAAATCCCAAATCCAGTGCTTCAGAATGTGATTGTATTTGGAGACAGGGCCCTCCAAAAAATGAACAAGTTAAAAATCCAATCTGGTGCCCTTATGAGAAGAAATTTAGACACAAGTGAGACACCAGGGATTTTCACACACAAAAGGAAAACCACAGAAGGACAAAGCAAAAAGACAGCTATCTGTAAGCCAAGGAAAGAGACTTTAAAAGAAACCAAAGTTGACAATATCTTATCTTGGACTTTTGGGAAAGTGTTTTTTTTTTTTTTAATACTTATTTAGTTGTAGATGAACACACAGTATATTTATTTATTTTTATGTGGTTCTGAGGATGGAACCCAGTGCCTCACACATGTGAGGCAAGCACTTTACCACTGAGCTACAGCCCCAATCTCAGTGTTTAGGTTTTTGTATAAATACGATCATATTGTCAGGAAGTAGTGAAAATTTCACTTCTTCTTCTTTTGCACTTGGATGCTTTGTATTTCTTTTTCTTGTCTGTTTGACTTGGTAGGACTTCCCAGTACAATGCTGAATAGAAGTGGTAAGAGTGAGCATCCCATGACTCCTGATCTTAAAAGAAAAGTTTTATGTTACATTAAGTAAGCATAAGAAAAAGCAAAATATTTTATTTCATCTTCATTTATCCCTTCAGTAATGCTTTTTCTATTTTATGAGATTAAAAAAATATTTGGGAGGGTGATTCATTAGATAATATTTCTTCTGCTCCCTTCTCTCTCTCTTCTTCTTCTGGTATTCCCATTATGCTCCTTTACATGTTTTGTAATTGTTTCACAGTTCTTGGAAATTCTGATTGTTTTAAATCTTTGATTTTAGTTTTCAGAACTTTCTGGTGGTATATTTTTAAAGTCACTGGTTTTTTTCCTCAGTTGAGTCCAGTCTATTGATAAAGCCCTGATAGAGATTTTTTATTTCTATTACTGTGTTTATTTCTAGTATTTCATTTTGATTCTTAGAATTTCCATCCCTCTGCTTACTTCATCCATTTGTTCTCGCATGTTACACAGTTTTTCCACTAGAATCCTAAGCATAATGCTTATTGTTATTTATTGTTGATCTGAGAAATCTAACATTTCTGCCATATCTGAGTCAGGTTCTGATGCTTTTAAATTTTGCTTCTTCAGATACTTCTTTCTTGTCTTTTTGCATACACTGAGTGACTTGCGATAGGCTCTGATTGTGCTCTAACTGAAGAGGAGGGTGTACCTCAATTTTTTTGGGAAGGCAGGTCAGCCCATCGAGCCAACATGGCCGCCCACAAGCCCCAGTGTCAGCATGGGCGCCGCCATATTGGCGTTAAGCCCCTCCTTCATCACACCGGAATGGGAACTAGTTTAGCAGAATGCCATGTTGTTTAAGGGCAACCTCGGTCCGTGAAGCCTCTGCTGAGCATGCGCACACGCAGGCCACGCCCCTGGAGTCCTGCTAGGGCAGGGCGGGGGGGAATCAAAGGGAGTGGGTTGCGTTTTAATTCCTGCGACTGTAGTCGCAGCCCAAGGCAAAAGAGAGTGAGGGTGAGCGACAGGTGAGTGCAGGGATGGAGCGTCCGTGCTCCGGGTGAAGAAGGGTCTCCGGCATCCGCGATGAGGGGTCGGACTGCGATGGGGATGGGGAGCGGATTGGATAACGGGTCGGGTAGTCTCGGAGGGTGGGTGTGAACCAGGGGAGCGGGCTGCGGGGGCTGTGGGGGCGGACCCGAGGGAGGACAGCTGGGCGCTGGCGCGCGGGTCTGGGGGTCGGTGACGGCGGCCCCAACTGATCTCTGACGACACCGGCGTGTTTACCTGGGCGTCTCCTTATCTTATCGTCTTTATTTTGCTAGGGGTTGGAAAACTGCATTGCCACGGGGTGGCGTGTAAGTTTGCAGTTACCTTGTTTTGTGCCCTTTCATTTCCTGTCATTCCCGTGAATACGTTTATATATCATCTTCTCTTTTCAAAAATCAGGCATCACAAGGGCATATTTTTTATTTTTTAAAATTTTTTGGTATCGGGGATTGAACTCGGGCTCTCAACCACTGAGCCACATCTCAGCCCTATTTTGTATTTTATTTAGAGACAGGGTCTCACTGATTTGCTTAGGTACTCGCTTTTGCTGAGGCTGGCTTTGAACTTGGGATCCTCCTGCCTCAGCCTCCCAAGGCGCTGGAATTACAGGCATGCTCTGCACCCGACTCCAATTACTTCTCTATCTGTGAAATGTATAAATTCAATTTGATATTCCGCTTTTATCCTGAGCTATTTGGGAGAGTTTCTTCATCCTTAAGCTGTTAAGATGTTTTTATTGCTTATTTTTATTTTATTGTATTTTCAGGAACTGTATACTGTCAAATTTCAACTTCTTAAAATTTATTAAGATTTTCTGTGTATTGGGCAAAATTCTTTTATGTTTATTAAATTTGTCTTGTTGAATTGTTCAAATCTTTCCTGATTTTGGTCTACTTGATTCAAAATATTCAGGAGGGAATAAAAATACAATAAAAACGTCTTACTTTGATAGATCATTTTGTAGTACTGTGTGCTTTTTCCCTAATTTTATTTGTGTTGCATCTGGGGGAGGGGCATATATACATAAACCTAATGGTTAATGCATTAACTATCATTTTTTTTTTAATTTTTTTAATACTTATTTATTAGTTTTCGGCGGACACAACATCTTTGTATGTGGTGCTGAGGATCGAACCCGGGCCGCACGCACGCCAGGCGAGCGCAATACAGCTTGAGCCACATCCCAGCCCCTAACTATCATTTTTCATTTATTGGATACTATTAATATAGAATTCTTTTTTTCAAAATAGAAAAGCACTTAACCTTGAATTCCATTTTGATATTTACATTGTAGCCACTGCTTTCACTTTTATTGCATTCAGATGGTGTATCTTTGTTTGGAGCTTTGTTTTATACTTACATTTGCCTATTAGTTTTAGGTGATCTGCTTGTAAATAATAGATTTTATTTTTTTAAAATCTAGCCTTTAGTCTCTATGTCTTGGCAAGAGAATTTTACCTCTTCAGTTTAGTGTAGTAATGATTTACTTGATTTTATACCTTCCAACTTATGGTTACTCTTTTTTCAGGGTTACTCTTTATTTTAACTACTACTTCTTTTTTTTTTTTGGTACTGGGGATTGAACTCAAGGGCACTCGAACATTGAGCCACATCCCCAGCCCTGTTTTGTTTTTTATTTAGAGACAGGGTCTCACTGAGTTGCTAAGTTCCTTGCTGTTGTTGAGGCTGACTTTGAACTCAAGATCCTCCTGTCTCAGCCTCCCAAGCTGCTGGGATTACAGATGTGCACCACCACACCTGGCTATTTTAATTCTATTCTTATTTTGTGCTTTTTCTTTTCATCTTAATAATCTCGTTGGATTGATGAAATTTCTATTCATTGTTTCCACTTACACCCCATGTAACTTCTATTTCTTCCTCAGATAATTAGGAATGTTTGTTGTAGGATATTATTAATTTTCTCTTTAGTTGCCTCCGTATCACATCTTTACATTGTCCTTTTTTATAATTACATATCTTGTGTAAAAATTGTTGCTGAATTATATTTTCCTGTTTGAGATTTCTCCCTCCTGATTTGTTTTACTTTTATTTGTAATATTCCCTTCAGTATTTTCCTCCAGATAAAGATGGAGATATTCAGCCAATGTTTTCATTTCTGAAAATGTACCTCTCTGGCCTTAACAGAAGAGTGGTTTTTTTATGTACTATTTCCCAAATCATTTAGCACTCATTACTGAAGATTAGGAGTCTTTTGATTTTCTTTATTCTTTCTGTTTAAATAATCCGTTCTTTCATATGTTCTGTATCTTTAGCATTTAGGAGTTTTCCCAGATTTGTTCATTCATTGGGTTCCTGTGTGTGTGTGTGTGTGTGTGTGTGTGTGTGTGTGTAAATGTGTGGGAAAGACTGACTAATGGGCCAGGAGTGGTGGTGCACCCCTGTAATCACAGCAGCTTGGGAGTCTGAGGTAGGAGGATTGCAAGTTCAAAGCCAGCCTCAGCAACTTAGTGATGCCCTAAGCAATTTAGCAAGACTCTGTTTCAAAATGAAAAATAGAGGGAAAAAAGCAGGGGTCGGTGCTGGGGATGTGGCTCAGAGGGTTTATGAAAGAACGACTGGACAAGGCTCGTCATAGGAGAGGTACCCGTTTATTGAGGAACAGCATTGCACATTTATAGAGGGAGGGGGCGCTTTCTGATTGGTGGGTAAGGATCATGAGAGTCAGCAGGGCTCACCATTGGGGGGCTGTGGGAGACCAACCTTACATGTGACTGAGTACACTTCCTGGCTGGGTGCTGAGGCACTCAGTTGCAGAAATGTGGCAGAGCTATGCTCACCTGTTCCTTTGTAATATAAACCCTTGCCCTGTTTAGGATAGAATCTTCCATGGACGTGCCTTTTTGTGTCCCCTTCTCTTACTGTGCCCTTGGGTGTGGCCTACCCAGGTGTCAGTCAACCTGCTGACAGTGGACATCATTAAGATAGACTCAGCCCCCTGAAACCTGACCCCTTGCCTCATTTGAATAGCTTCTCCTCAATAAAAGGGGTCAGCGCATGCTCTCGATCTCTTAAAAGGGACAGGTGAGCATAGCTTCACCCATGGGGCTGTAGCAAGACACACCCATGCACGAGACACCGAGCCTCGGACCCAAGAAGGGTGGGGAGAGCTCTGCCACATTTCTGCAACTGAGCGCCTCAGCACCCAGCCAGGGAGTGTAACCAGTCACGTGTAAGGTTGGTCTCCCACAATCATCCATAGTCAAATTCCCCTTATCATCTAAAAAGTGACTTTTTAAACTTTTTACCGTGAGAATTTCAAAGATACAAAAGTGAAGTGAGTTGTAGAGTAAACCCATCTGTAGTCTTCAACCAGCTTCCATGATCAGCAGCTCATACCTGACCATGTCATCTGCACCCTCCCTTCCCTCGTGTTTTTCTTTCTCCGCGGGATTATTTTGAATCAAATCTCAGCATTGTGTTCTCTCATCTACACATATTTTGGTGTGTAAATCTAAAGATAACTGCTTTAAAAAATAGTAGTTATAACATTAAAAAAAATCACAGTGTGTTTTAAAGTATCGTTTTATGTGTGTTGGTAGGTAGTGTTAAAGAAAAGTTATAGACAAATTAAATTTAGCAGAGCTTATTTGGGCAAGGAATGATTCATGAATCAGGCAGCACTCAGAACCAGAAGGAATTCAGAAAGCTCTGCCCAGTAGTGGGAGATCTGAGCTTTTATTGGCTGGTAGGACACGGAACTAAAGTTGAGCCATCACCTGACTGGTTACAGCTAGATGTCTGTCTTATTTGGTATGATGTGATATGTTGGCTGCTTGTGATTGAAACTTGGCAGTTATACTCTTTTTTTTTTTTTCCCCTCCCAGTACTGGGGATTGAATCCAGGGCACTCTACCACTGGGTTACATTCCCAGTCCCCGTTTTTCTTTTTGTGGTGCTGGAGATAGAACCCAGGGCCTTGTGCTTGCGAGGTAAGCACTCTACCAACTGAGTGCTGTGTATCCCCAGCCCCTGTCCCCCGTCCTTTTTATTTTTTATTTTGAGACAGTTTTGTTAAGTTGCCCAGGCTGGCCTTGAACCTGTGATCCTCCAGCCTCTGCCTTCCCAGTCGCTGGGATTACAGGTGTGCCCCCTGCCTGTCTCTTACACTCTTAAGTTAGGCTTTGGTTTGTTTGCACACTAAGTTAGGTCGTAGTCTGCTGTGTAGAGACTACGACCTAACTTCCTTCACACCAGCTTCAGGGGGGCAGCTTCAGGCCAAATTTAAGTTTATTTAATAGTAGATTTAGAAGTTTGATTGGATTAGGTTCCCTTTTTGTTACCTTTTTGGCAAGGTGGCTTCCAGTTAGTATTGTGTGTCTCCATCGTGAGACGTGTCTGCTCATCACTTTTTATGATGTGAGCAGCCATTGCTGATCATTTCCTAGATCCGCTATTGCTTTAGGGGTGCCAAATGGACAGATTCCATTTCTGCCATTGCTTTTAGTTCTTAGCTGTTATAAATATAGAGAGAGGAATTCCTTCATCAGTGTTGAGTTACCCAAAATTTAAGCTGTTTAGGAAAGGCAGCAGAAATGCCTTTTTCTTCATCTATTTATAGATTTGAAAAATAATAATTTGATACCCAACATTTTCCAAAGGTTCCAGAAATCTTGATCTGAGTGGTAGATGCACAGGTGTGGGAAATATAGAAAATGCATCAAGCTATATACCTAATATTTATGTAAAAATTAGCAAAGTCAGGGAAAAATATTGAAAGAATGGAGCTAGGGTAAAGGGGACACAGTAGCCAATGGATGGCTTTTTTTTTTGGTGATAGTGGGGATAGAGCCCAGGGCCCCATACATGCTATAAGAGGTCTACCACTGAGCCACATCCCCAGCCCCACTCTTTGGAGCCTGCTCCCAAAGAATCGATAAAAGCATGTGTTAGGGGATAATTGGGAAATTTAAAAAAAATATTTATTTACTTTTTAGTTACAGGTGGACACAATGTCTTTATTTTACTTTATGTGGTGCTGAGGATCGAACCCAGTGCCTCACACATGCTAGGCGAGTGCACTACCGCTGAGCCACAACCCAGCACAGGAAATTTTGAATGTGAGCCCATATTAGCATGATATTACAGAATTACTATTACTTTTCTGAGGGCATGATAATGATTTTTAAGATTTATGTGATGTGTTTAGACCTGAAATGTCACATCTGCAACTTTCAAATTGTTCAACAAAAGCAAAGTATAGAAATAAAGCACAATTTTACCTCTTCTCTCTTAGGGTTTTTTTTTTTTTTTTTTGGTGGGGGGAAGGTAGAGGTTGGGCCTGAAAGTTAAATTGACCTTAAACAGAGTAATAGAAAAGCATACCAATTTCATATACGTCACATGTGACCTGGGAACCTCGTAAAGAAATGAAGACCAATGAAGGGACAAAACCTCATGCTTTTATGTTAGGTGGACCGAGAGGCAGGGGGGAAAGGGACTGAATGCTGTGGGGAGGCTAAAGGAAGAGAGTGATTGTAACAAGGTCGGTACAGAATTCCCTTGGCCACGGCTTCCCATCAACAGCGCTTCTCCTCTCAGTTTCAGTGTGGGCATCTTCCACACGGGGTGTTCATCTTCTATTTTAAAGAAGAGAAGTGGCGAATTTGAGTGCTCTTCTTGCATCTGCAAATTTTCAGGTGTTCTTAGCTCACAACAATCTTTATATCAAAATAGCATGTTTTGGAATTCTTACTTTGCCATCCTTCAGACGCATATTTAAAATACACATATATGTGTATATGAATATGTGTATGTTTGGAAAGATGAAATAAATTTGGCAAACTGCTAATTATTGAAACAAGGTGGAGGGTATATCCTTGTAATCTAATCATTCAACTTTTCTTTATGTTGGAAAACTCATAAAAACAGTTGGGGAACAATGGCCACAGTCAGTTGGTGACTTGGCTCAGGTCTTATGGCTCATTATTAACTAGAACTTGATCCCCTTACTGTGCTGTAGCCAAAACAAAGTTTCTACTGAAAGCTCTCTCCGAAGAACTATATGTAAGGGAAAGCAGTAAAAAAGTCAAGAAGCTCCCTTTCTGGTATTTCTTGTGGATATTCTCATTTCTTGGGGTAATTAACAGAAGCTCAGAGTAAAATTATCAATTTTAGGAGTCATCTAACACACTGTATGAAAGATGGACAGGTATGGATAGATAGAATCCAAGCTAAGAGAAAATGAAGAGGAGACTACCAGTTCTAAGTCAAGTTTGGAATATCGCTTTATGTATTTTCACACAGTTTTGAATTTGAACTATAAAATATTTATTCTTTAAAACAGTTATTTTGTTGTTTACTGACAATAAAAAAGTTGTTGAAATCACCTATACATTTACCATCACCCAGATATTATATGTTAACATGTTAGTATATTTGTTTCCATATAATAGCCTATGTACATAAATACATTTGTGCATGCATATATGTATGAATGTGTACGTACACATGAGTAAACATAGTACAATGAAAGTAGAATCATACTATTTGGTATGTCTTTTTTAGGGGGGGAAGTACTGGGGATTGAACTCTGGCACTCGACCACTGAGCCACATCCCCAGCCCTGTTTTGTATTTTATTTCGAGACAGGGTCTCACTGAGTTGCTTCACACATCACCTTTGCTAAGGCTGGCTTTGAACTCGCAATCCTCCTGCCTCAGCCTCCTGAGCTGCTGGGATTATAGGTGTGTGCCACCACGCCCAGCCTATTTGGTACATCTTTTTATATTTACTCAGCATTTTAACATACTATTCTATTGTATTTCAATTTTATGTAACATTATGTCCTATAAAGTGTTTAATTAATCTACAGTTATTGTCAGGGTTTGTAGCTTTTCTTTGTTATTGGCCATGTTGTTGTGAAATTCCCACCTTTGTGCAATATTGGGTGTTGTTTTTTTTTTTTTTTTTAATGATGTAATCCTAAAAGTAAATTTTGGGATTGTAGATGCAAAAGTGCTAAATGACACATGTATCCATGTGTGACAATGGCATGCTTCCTACTCTCATCTATACCTCTGCCTATCTGTTTTCTCAGATCTCTGCCCCTTCTCTAGAAGAGCCCAAGATGAGCAAGTCCCTGGTGAGTTCTTGTCTATTCATCTATTTATTTGTTTTTTAAAAAATTTTCCTAGTGAATTTTAGGAGTCATCTAACACACTGTGTGGAAGATGGACAGGTATGGATAGATAGAACCCAAGCCAAGAGAAAATGAAGAGGAGACTACCAGTTCTAATTCAAGTTTGGAATATCGCTTTATGCATTCTCACACAGTTATGAACTTGAACTATAAAATTGTTTCTGATCTTCCTGACGTAAAGATAATGGAAATGGATGCATGGTTTGTATTATTGACAGGTGATTTGTCAGTAATATCAGTTTCCTCACTCTTGATATTTGTGAAAGTTTTTGATGGATTTTTCAGGTGAGTGGTGGCTGAGCGGTGTCTCAGTGGTGACCTTGTTCACAGTGCCCTGGCAGGTTTTCCCTGTTGGTTGAGCAGTGCTTCCCATGCTTGACTTGCACATTAATTCAGGTTCTGGTTCTGGGATGGAATACAGTTTGCATTACTCACAGTCCCAAAGAATGTCAGGGCTTCCTTTCCAAGGACCACCCTTTGAAGCAGACTTAAGTTTTTATCATGAATAGGTGTTGGATTATGCAAATGCTTTTTCTGCATCAGTTGACATGATCATATGATTTCACTTCTTTAAACTGTTGATATGGTAGACTGCTTTGATCAGTTTTGTAATATTGAACCAACCTATCATTTTTGGAATAAATCCTATTTTGTCATGATATAGATTTCTTTTTATATGTTGTATTTAATCAGTATTTTGTTAAAGATCTTTGCATCATGTGTATGAGAGAGATTGCTCTTACTTCTCTCTGCCTTTCTCTCCCCCACTCCCTCTACCAGTTTTGGTTTTGATATTAGAGTAATAATGGCCTCTGAAATGAATTGGAATGTGTTCCTTTATATTGATTACTCTGCCAGAGATTGTGTATAATTTGTGTTTACTTTTTCTCTACTGTGTGTCCAGTTTTTAATATTAGGTAATACATCATAGAATTAATCAGAAAATAATTCCCTTCTGTTTTCTGCAACACATTGTGTGGAATTCATGTTCATCCTCTAAGTATTTGGTAGAATTCTCCAGAGAAATCATCTAGGTCTACAGATTTCTTTTATGGAAATTTTAAAATTGCAAACTCAATTTCATTATTATTTGTTTATTATTGAGGTTTGTATTTTTTAGGCATTGATTCCTTTAAGTTGTCACATTTCTGTGTGTAAAGTTGTTTGTAGTTGTGTTAGTCTACTCTGGCTGCCTTAACATTAAACCACAGATTGGGTGGATCAAAAACCAGAACTTTTGTTTTCTCACAGTTTTGGAGGTTGGAAGTGGGAGTTCAGGGTGTCAGCATGGTCAAGTTCTGGGGAGGGTGCTCTTAATTCGAAAATGGCTGGTTTCTGACAGTGCACACGTGGCCTTCCTCAGTGCATGCTCACCTGTAGGGAGAAAGAGAACTCTTCTTTAAAGCCATCAGGTTGATTTTTACTTTTTTTGTTTGGTTGTTGGATTCTACTTTTTTTTTCCATAGACAAGAATAACCTTACTGAGCCCAGCTTGCCCTTCACATCAGTACCTCCTCATCTTTGCCACTGCCAGAATTTTCACCACTTGGATCTCTGGCATCAGCCCATCCTGTGATGGTGACAGTTGTTTCAGGGGGCATAGAGCTAGAAGTGGCACTGTCACCTCAGCTGGGGTAGAAGAGATAGATAAGGGTGTTGGCCAAGAAGAAAAGGAAACTGCCACCATCCATGTTGCTGAGAGCTGGGGCCCCACTTTTGTTGGGTTTGGGGGGTGGTCTGATGGTAGTCATGTGTCCCAAGACTCCAGTTTATATCTGAGTTAAAACTAGGAGGCTGAAGTTGAGTGGGAGGAAGAGGAAGCCCTTCATCCTGGCAGAGTCTTGCTGGGCTCTCCTGGTGACATCTGTGGTAGATGAGTTCAGGGCTCTCTGCCTAATACCACCTGTCTTCCCAGAGCAGGATCCCACCCCACCTGTGTGACCTCATCTAATCTTAATTACCTCTTAAAAGCCCTGTCTCCAAGTCATGCTAGCTTAGGCTGTCAACATGAAATTTTGGAGGACACAGCTCAGTTCATAGCAGTAATATTTCCTTTATAAATACCAATAAATGATCTTTTCATAGAATCTTCAAAAAATTTATTGATTTTCATTATATTTTTATCTTTTCAATCTTATTGATTCCTGCTTTTATCTGTATTATCTGCCACCCCTCAACCCCAGTTTGCTTTGGGTTTTGATATTTTTCTCTAGTTTCTTTAGGTGGCATCTCAGTATTGATTTGAGAAGTTTCTCGTGTAAGCCTTGTTGCTATGGATTTTCTTCTCACCACTGCTTTAGTTGTATCCCCAAAATTTGAATACTTTAAATTTTTATTCACTTCAGTGTAATTTTTGTATTTGCCTAAGACTTCCTTTTTGACTCATGCATTATTTAGATATGTGTTGTTTAGTTTCCAAATGTTTGGAGATTTTCCTGTGTTCTTTCTGCTATTGATTTCTAGTTTGAATTCACTGTGTACAGAGAATATACTCTGTATGACTGCATTAACTAAGATTTGTTTAGTTATTCTGAAAAATGTTGAGAGAGGGGTGAAGTCTTCAACTGCAACTACGGATTAGCCTCTTTCTCCTTTTAGTACCACCAATTGTTGTTGCTCCCTGAGTTTTGCAGCTTTATTGTTTGGTGCATACATATTTAAGATTGTTTTGTCTTCTTACTGAATTGACCCATTTATAACTATATTATGGTCTGAATGTTTGTGTCTTGCAAGCACTCATAGGTTGGAACCCTAACCCCCAATATAATAGTCTCAGGATATACAGCCTTTGGGAGGTAATTAGATTTAGATAAGGTTATGAGGGTAGAACCCCATGTGGAATCAGTACCCTTGTAATAAGAGAAAGAGACCAGAGCTCATTTTCCCTTTGCTATAAGAATATACAACAAGAAGGAGGCCATCTGCAAACCAGGAAGTGGGCTCTCCCCAGTCACAGAATCTTTGAGCGCTTTAATCTTGGACTTCTAGCTTCCAGAACTATGAGAGATAAATATTTATTATTTAATCCTTCCAGTCTGTAGTATTTTGTTATAGCAGCCTGAGCTAATTAAGATATTATGTAACATCCCTGATAATTTTCTTTCCTCCAAAGTCTATTTTATTTAATATGGATATAGCCATTTCTGCTTTCATTTAATATTTGTATGTTATATATTTGTATTAGTGCCCTAGGGCCATCATAACAAACTTCATAAACAAGGTGGCTTAAAACAATAGGGATTTATTCTTTTACATTTCTGAAGGCTGGAAGTCCAAAATCAAGGTATTGGTAGGGTATGCTGTCTCTTCTTCTTCCAGTGGTTGCTGGAAATCCTTGTGTTCTTGGTGTTCTCCTACTGTTTCTATTGTCACATAGTCATCTTTCCTCTCTCTGTGTGGCGTTCTTCCCTCTACAGAACATAAACAGTTCCTATTTTATTTTCACTGGATATTGAGTTCTACATCAACAATTCTTTCCCTTTAGCAACTGGAAACTATTGTGCCACTTCCTTTTGATTCTGTAGTCTATGAGAAACCATCTTTCATTCAAACTGCTATTTCCCTACAGATAACATATAATTACCCTCTGGCTGCTTTCAGATTCTTTTCTTGAATATGATTTTCAAACATTTCATTGTAATGTGTCTGGGCATGGATTTATTTGATCCCTTCCTGTTTGAGACTTGCTCAGCTTCTGGAATCTGTAGATTTATACCTTTTTTTTTTTTTAAATCTGGAAAGTTTTCAACTATTATTTCTTCAAATATTTTTTGCACTTCCCCATCCCATTCCTTTTCCTTCCTTCTAGGACTCTGATGAAATGAGCGTTAGATCTGCTACATTATTGTATGGGTCCCTTAGGCTATGTTTGATTTTTCCATATATTTTATTTCTTTTGTTCAGATTAGTTAACGTCTCTTGATCTGTCTTCAGGACAGTTGATTCTTTCCTTTGTATGTTCATTCTGCTGTTGAAATCATTAAAGTCTTAAATTTCAGTTTTAAATTTTTCTTTTCTTTCTGTGTGTGTGTGTGTGTGTGTGTGTGTGTGTGTGTGTGTGTGTTGCTAAGGATCAGTCAACCCAGGGCTTCACGCCTCACATGTGCTATCTAAGCACTGAGCTACACTTCTCAGCCTATGGTTCTTTTTAGTATCTTCTATTTCTTTGCTGAGAGTTTCTATATTTCCATTTGTTTCAAGAGTATTTGCAACTGCTTGTTGGAGTATTTTTGTGTTAGCTTCTTTAAATCCTTGCCAAGTAATCCCAACAGCTCATTCATCTCAGTGTTAGCATCTGTTGATAGTCATTTCTCATTTGATCTGAGATTTTTTTTGGTTTTGATATATAAATAATTTTGAATTTATTCAGGACATTTTGATTATTATTTATGAGACATGGTTTTGTCTTTAAATTTTCTGTTTTAGCAGGTAGTCAGCCTGTTTAGGTTCAGAGGGTATGTCCTGGTCTGTTTCCAAGGGCTATAGTTCTGATGCCAATTTAGTTTTCAAAGTCCTTGCTCTTATCAGGTCTGTCTGTCTTTAGTGCTGTTCAGAGGCCAACTTGAGATCTGGGCAGTATCTCACACCCTGTCTGGGCTTGGATTTATTTGATCCCTTCCTGTTTGAAACTTGCTCAGCTTCTGGAATCTGTAGATTTAGACCTTTTTTAAAAAAAAACCTGGAAAGTTTTCAACTATTATTTCTTCAAGTATTTTTGCATTTCCCATTCCTTTTCCTTCCTTCTAGGACTCTGATGAAATGAGCGTTTAGCTCATGACTTCTTCAGTGATTATTCTAATTTGTTTCATACATGGGCTGCACATACTGAGTTGTGCAACCATCTTTAGAATCAACTTTAGAACATTTTCTTTACTCACCCTAAAAATCTCATAGTTTTAGCTAAGACCCTCATATTCCTCCATTTCCCCTAGCTGAAGTCAACCACTAGTCTATTCACTATCTCAATAGATTTGCTTATTCTGGAATTTCATATTAATGAAATCATATAACATATCATTTTTTGTGACTGGCTTTTTTTATTTAACACAATATTTTCACGATTCATCCACATTATGTATCAATACTTCAGTATGTTTTATGACTGAATGTTTTTTTTTAATTTTTTTTAGATTGAACCTTTATTTTATTCATTTATGTATCTGTGGTGCTGAGAATTGAACCCACTGCCTCACACGTTAGGCAAGAGCTCTGCCACTGAGCCACAACCCCAGCCCATGACTGAATGTTTTTATATTATATGGATAGACCACGTGTTTGTTATCTCTTTATTGTTTGGAAGACATTCGTGTTGTTTCCACTTTTGGCTATTATGAGCATTCATATGCAAGCTTTGTATAGATAAATGTTCTCATTTCTCTTGAGTGTGTACCTACAAATAGAATTTCTGGGTTGTATTGTAACTCTGTGTTTAATATTTTGAAGAATTGTCAGACTGCATTACAAAGTGACCACACCAGTTTTTACTCCTACCTGCACTGTAGGAGGGATCCAGCTTCTCTTCCTTACCAACACTTGTCATTATCTTTTTTATTATACACACCCTAGTGACTGCACTTCTCTAATAACTAGTGATATTGAACTATTTTCATTACAGTTTTCTTAGTGAATTCACAGGGATGTCTCTTTGTAATTTTGATTCTGTTTCCTTGATGACTCATGATGCCGAGGACCTTTTTCATGTGCTCATTGGCTGTTTGTATGTCTTCATTGGAGAAATGTATCACTGGATCATTTGCCCATTTTTAATTGGGTTGTCTTTTATTAGGTTGTAAATGTTCTTTGTATATTTTAGATACAAATCCCTATCAAATATATGATTTGAAAAAAAATTCCCCCGGTCTATGAGTCTTTTGCTCACATGACTGTGTCACTTGACACACAAGTTTTAATTTTATCTGTTTTTTCCTTTGGGTGCTTGTGCTTTGGGGGTCTCATATTAAGAAACCATTGCCACATTCAATGTCATAAAGATTTACCCCTTTTAGCTAAAATGTAAATTTTTTTTTTCTAAATGTAAAAACATTTAGACTTCCGATCCATTTTGAGGTAACTTTTTACTGTGGTGTGAAGGAGGGTTCAACTTTATAACATGGATCTCCACTTGTCCCAGCACCATTTGTTGAAGAGTCTGTTCTTTCCTTTATAAATTGACCCTTGGCCAGGCACGGTGGTGTGTGCTTCTTAGTCCCAGCTATGTGGGAGGCTGAGGCACGAGGCTTGCTTGAGCCTATAGGTTTCAGACCAGCCTGGGCAACAAACAAGACCGTGTCTCAAAAGCAATTTGTTTTGACACTCTTAGCAAATAGTAATTAACAACAATTTGAAAGGTTTACTTATGGACTTTGAGTTGTATTCTAGTGGTCTGTATGTTTATCCCGATGCTAGCACCACGCTATTTTGAAAGAAGAGCCTTATTTTAATTTTCTTTTTTAAAGAAAAAACTGGCTTAGTGGATCGTTGAATGCAAAGTGTGTGGCAATAAGTGAACTATTATTGGAATATGGCATACATAGAGAAGTTTGAAGATTGATGAATTTTCACAGCTTATTTCTATGTAACCAGCATACAGGTTTTTGAAAAAGATTATTGGGCTGGGGTTGTGGCTCAATAATAGAGTGCTTGCGTAGCATGCACTGGTTCAATCCTCAACACCACATAAAAATAAATAAATAAGGTAAAGGTATTGTGTCTATCTACAACTAAAAAAAAAAGATTATTATTATTATCATTACTGCAAAAGAACCAGCAGGATGCTTTAAAAAAGATTTCTTTTTTTAGTCAAAACAACAAAATAAAATATAGGTGTTTAGTGGGAACTTATATATTATAACCTAATAAATCAAATTAAAAATAAGGTCCTAAATATCTTGTTCCCATGGTGCAGTCTTGACCCTTCACATTGAATAGGAATTGGTTCTTACAGGGACCAGTGTCTTTCAAGGATGTAACCGTGGAGTTCAGTGGGGAGGAGTGGCAGCACCTGGACCTTGCCCAGCGAAGCCTGTACAGGGATGTGATGCTGGAGAACTATTTCAACCTGATCTCAGTGGGTGAGCACAGCCCTGCGTGTGCAGAGCAGGCTGCACCCAGGGTACTCTTTTTCTTTCCTAGAGGAATTTCTGAAATCTGTGGGTTTTCTGAAGTCTCTGTAACTCCCAAAGACTGCAGGGCATCTGAAATATGTAATGGTTCTGTCTTTGTTTTGTCCCGTGTTCTTAAGAATCTCTTTTGGGTACTGTGAATATACCTCTGTTCCCAGTAGACATTTTTGAAAATCACATGGCGTACTTTATCATGTGGCCTCTGAAACATATTCTCTATCATTTCCTGTTGACAGGCTGTCCAGTTCCCAAACCAGAAGTCATCTTCAACCTGGAGCAAGCAGAGCCACGCGTGTGGGATGAGGAGGCCTCCGGTCAGCACTGTGCGGGTGAGTGGGAGCCAGGAGCATGGACCATGGTTCAGCCCACCTGCAGTCGTGCTGGGAGAGCTTCTGTTTCGTGCCATTAGTGTGACTTTTCTGCTTACCTTTTGAGTTTTCAGAACTGCTTGATGGAGCTGACGTCATCCCCTTGGAAATGGAAATGCTGTCCCCCTCACGGCCTCTTCCCATACCAGTGCCACGACCTCTGAGGAGGGCCTGTGCTGGTTGGCAGTGCCTTGGGTGGGATCTCACCCGGCATCATCTAGGATCATGCCCTCTTGCCCTTTGTTCTCTCTCCATAGAGAACTTCTGCTCCTTCTACCTCCAGCCAGGGCTTAGTTCCTTTTCTTAGGCATTTAAACTCCCATAGATCTGCCTTCTTTTAAAAAGTCACCATGGGTCACAATCCTGTTCCCTGGTGTCTTTTCCTTTGTGTCTCAGCATTGTCACCTGGATGGCTTATTTGATAACCTGTGCTCTTCTTCACTGCTGACTTCGAGGGCATCCTGGTCACTTTCTTCCTGCCTGGCTAGTGCAACACAACACTGACTCGATCTTTCTAATTTGGATATTTTACCAGAGGCTTTTGTACCTCATGTTCAGGAGATTGAGTTAATTATAACCTTAGTTTGTGGTCAGTGTCCTCATCAATGTGTTTCAAGGCCCCTCTTACTTATTCCTTTTAATCCCCATTCTCCATACTCATTGTTCCTTCCCAGGGGCAACTGCTTTAATATGTGTGCTATCTGTCCTAGAATTTGTGGGGGTTTTGTAAAATCTAAATTGTTGGTATTTTTAGTTTGTAGAAATGGTCAGTTTCTTTCCCTGCCCCCTTTCCTTCGGTCTCTCTTTCTTTAAATTGGCATGTTTCGATGTTTTCTAGGTTAATTGCTTCCAACTGCTGCATAGCACGCTTAGTACAGATAAATATAGCACATTTTACTACTACAAACAGTATTGTAATAAATTTCTTCAAGCACTATTCATATTGGAAATGAGAATTTCTCAGGAGTGGTAGGATTGCTTTGACATGGACTATACTAATACTTAATATGACTTAGTATAATTGCACTGTTTTCTGGATTGACTCCTACAATCCCCTGAACATTACACAAGGGTATTAGTTTCCCCATATCTCTGCCTATATTTAGTATTACATGCATCTCCAGTAATTTGGATTTCAACTTCTAATTATTGTTTTGTGTTTCTTTAATAACAGAATGCGTGGAACATTGAGCTGTATCTTGTCGTAGACTCTGTTTTTGATGCTGGACTACTGACATCTTCCAAGCCTTCCCTCTGTCTCTTCCCCATCTGCCCCACATCTGGACAAACTGATAAGCAAGTTCAGGTTTTCCTTCCTTTGGGAACATACAAGGCCAGGCAGCCAGCCCTACCTCCAACCAGCAGAAAACCCCAGGCCACTTTGGACCTGCTTGGAGCTCTCCCCAGAGCCTCTTTGCATGAACAAGCCTTTTCCTACCCACTTAGCTTTTGTATTCCACCATCACTCTTGACATCTGAACCAGACCTGGGCTGGGCCAGTTCTCCCCTGCAGGTGCCTTAACACTGAGGCAGTAAGCAGGCAGTTCAGACAGGGACCACCACCAAGGGCCTTTCTCCTCTTCCCAACAGCTCCACTGTCTGCACTTTGCCTCTGCCGTGTACATAACCAACCTGAGGTGGAGGTTGCAGTTGTTATTTAGGAACAGGTGTAAAGAGTTAGGCCCTTCCTTAAATTTGCCCTTGGTCATGTGTCTTGGCTTGAACTATTTGTGTGTTTTACATTGAATCGTGTGTCCGGGTTCCATCTGGGACTGATGCTCGGCTCACAGGAATGACTGTCACTCTGTGACCACTGTGTGTCTTAGCCAGGCCTTGGCCGCATTTATGCAGGGCCCAGGAATACAGATGCCTTTTGTGTAGAGGGTGGGTCCCTCCGTGGCTGCCTGAAGAAAGGCAGACAAGTCCCGGTGCAGCAGACTACAAGCAAGTGGCTGACCTCAAAATCTTCCCCTGTTCTACGTGGGTTTTTGCTTTTCCCTCTGATCTACCTTCTCAAACAATTCCTTCTGCTTTTCTGCTAATTTTTCTCTTAGAAAAGATCATTTAGATGCCCTCTTCTTACTTCCTCCTGGTATCACCTAAAGCCATACTTATGTTTTCTCATGCGTGGATTATTCTAATCTTATTTGAATATGTTGATTTCATTTTTTTTCCTACTTCACTTTATTTTTTTTTAAATATTTTTTTAAGAGAGAGAGAGAGAGAATTTTTAATATTTATTTTTAGTTTTCGGCGGACACAACATCTTTGTAAGTGGTGCTGAGGATCGAACCCGGGCGGCACGCATGCCAGGCGAGCGCGCTACCGCTTGAGCCACATCCCCAGCCCCCTACTTCACTTTAGATGTGACTGACAGATTTATTACTTAAATCACTATACATTTTGTTTATCTTGTCCTAGTTATATGGAGCAAAACTGAAGTCACTCATTATTATCTAAATTATGACACATTCTTTTCTTAATGGGTTTGTAAGTGAAAGAAATAACATGGCCTCAATTTGTAATGCACATTTGTCTCTGTGTAATTTCTAAAACCATGTCTGTTCCATTTTAACATTTTCTTTAATGTTCCCCTGCATTGTTTTCTCATTTCTCTGCCTTTTCAAATTATGCACACACTCATATTTTTTGTGCAGATTTCTCTTGCTGCTTGAATCAGATCTCATACAACATACCTACCTGCTTTCTCCCTCCTCTAATTCTCCAGTCCATAGAAATTCAGAGAAAAGCTACATTAAATGATATGATAACCAAGCCTTTTACCACTATACTTCTAAAAAAAATTGTTTATATAGAAAATACTTAGTAAAATTGAATTTAATCTCTAGGCAGAAAAGGTTGTTTTGCTCTATTTCAAAAGAATTTTAATTTTTTTCTTCTAGAATCAATTCATAGGGCCAGAGATAGTAATTAGAAAGAGAAGATAATGGGTGGAATCCTTATAAAGTTTCAGCTTTGGTGCAGTATGCATATGTTAATGTATACATCTAAGTAAATTTAAGTATAAATATGAGTGACTGAGAATATTCATTTGTTCATTTTTAAGTTAAATGAAAACAGAGCCTCCCCAGAGTTGTGGGGAGATTAGAGATTAGCTCTTAGAGCAGAGTACCCTTCATGGTCTTAGCATGCACATGGACCTAGTTTTATCCACAGCATCAAAAAGAAAACAAAACCAAAAAAGTTCTTTTAAGCCACAGGGTTTACATTTTGTTCTTCTGGCGCCTTCCTCGTTCTCCCTTTGCTTGATTTGAATCTCTTCCTTCCCAATTACTAATCATTTGATTTGGGCAGTTATTAAGCTTTTCTGTGGCTCACTTTCCTTGTCTATAAAATGGGGATAACAATACCAAAGGTATTGTAATAAAACCAAAGGGTTGAAATAAAGTTTATATAGAACTTAGAACAGCACCTCCAAATGCTCTTGCTTATCCTAAGGTAAATGTAATGTCTTAATTTTATTACTGTATGTTATTGTATTTATATTACATAGAGAGTATTGTACCTATATATTTATATATCTTTACATATTATGTGTATTTATTATGTTTATAGAGCGCGTGTCCCATTTCTCTGTGTTCATCCTGAATTAACTCAAGGTATCAGTTGTTCTCTGTGTCAGTTTAATCTTTTCTTTCTTTTCAGATGGGGATATTGGTTTTGAGACTTCACAACAGAGACTGTCTGAGGAATTTTCTTTCCAGTGTGAGAGAGTTGATCTCTTCACAGGAGATAACCCCTATTCCCTTTTAGAAGAATTGTGGAAGCAAAGGGGGAGATGTGAAGAAAACCAGGCCACGCCTTTACGTCACGTTGTCTTCAGGGGCAGGGCAGCACTAGCTGATTCAAGGAGCTGTGGATACCAGGACGCTGGGAAAATTGGGCACATAAACACACATCTGATTCCTTCACGAAAAGGATTCCATCGTGGTGATGCCTTTGGAAAGAATCTGAAGCTCGTTGCAAGCTTATATAATCATAATAGAAACAATGCAACAGAAAATCATGATGAGGTTATCAGCCGTGAGGATGCTGTTACTCATACCGGTTCTCATACGGAAGGGAGTGATTGTGGAGGCAAGCATTGTCGGGAACGTGGGGGTCATAAGCAAGCTCTCACTCCACATCTGAAAAGTCATGCTGTGGAAAATCTCCCTTTGTTTTCTGACTATGTAAAAGTTTTCACTGAGAATTCCCACCTCTTTGCACATCAGAGGATTTATGCTGGAGAAAAACAGCATGAGTGTAGTAAATGTGAGACAGTCTTCACCCAGAAGCCCCCACTTGCTACTCCTTGCAGAGTTTCTGCAGGAGAGGAGCCCTATAAGTGTATGGAATTTGGGAAGTCAAGTCACCAGAAAACTCATAATGAGGAAAATTACTATAAATTCAGTGAATACAGAAGAGCCTTTATCCAGAAGTCTGATCAGTTCAGACGCCAGAGAGACCATCCTGGAGAAAAACCCTATGAATTCAGTGAATGTGTGAAAAGCTTCTCACAGAATTCAAACCTCAGCATAATTAAAAAAAATCATACTGGAGGGAAACACTTTGAATGTACTGACTGTGGAAAAGCCTTCACAAGGAAATCCACACTAAGTATGCATCAGAAAATTCACACAGGAGAAAAACCCTATGTATGTGCTGAGTGTGGGAAAGCCTTTATCCGGAAATCCCATTTTATCACACATGAAAGAATTCATACTGGAGAGAAGCCCTATGAATGCAGCGACTGTGGGAAATCCTTTATAAAAAAATCACAGCTCCATGTGCATCAGCGAATTCACACAGGAGAAAATCCTTTTATATGTTCACAATGTGGCAAGGTCTTCACTCACAAGACAAATCTCATTATACACCAGAAAATTCATACTGGGGAGAGACCCTACATATGTACTGAATGTGGGAAAGCCTTTACTGACAGGTCCAATCTCATTAAACACCAAAAAATTCACACTGGAGAAAAACCTTATAAATGCAATGACTGTGGAAAATCATTCACCTGGAAGTCACGGCTCAGAATCCATCAGAAATGCCATACTGGCGAGAGACATTACCAGTGTCGTGAGTGCGGGAAAGCCTTCATTCAGAAGTCCACACTAAGTATGCACCAGAGGATTCACAGAGGAGAAAAGCCCTATGTGTGCAACGAGTGTGGGAAGGCCTTCTTCCACAAATCCCATTTTATCACACATGAAAGAATCCACACTGGAGAGAAACCCTATGAATGCAGTGATTGTGGGAAATCCTTCACCAAGAAATCACAGCTCCACGTGCATCAGCAGATTCACACAGGAGAGAAGCCCTACAGGTGTGCTGAATGTGGAAAGGCCTTCACTGACAGGTCCAATCTCTTCACACACCAGAAAATTCACACCGGAGAGAAACCCTATAAATGTAGTGACTGTGGAAAAGCCTTCACTCGAAAGTCAGGCCTCCACATACATCAGCAGTCCCACACTGGAGAAAGACATTACGAGTGCAGTGAATGTGGGAAAGCCTTTGCCAGAAAGTCAACACTAATTATGCACCAGAGAATTCACACTGGAGAGAAACCCTATGTTTGTACTGAATGTGGGAAGTCCTTCATCCAGAAGTCACACTTAAATAGACACAGGAGAATTCACACAGGAGAGAAGCCCTATGGGTGCAGCGACTGTGGGAAGTCTTTCATTAAGAAGTCACAACTCCATGAGCATCATCGAACCCATACAGGAGAAAAACCGTATGTATGTGCTGAATGTGGAAAGGCCTTCACCATCAGATCAAATCTTCTTAAACACCAGAAAATTCATAGTAAACAGAAGCCCTACAAACGCAGTGACTTTGGGAAGGCCTTTCACTGGAAGGTGCAGCTCACAAGTCAACACAGTGTACCTCAGAAGTCTGACGCTGGGGAGGTGGAGTGCCCAGTGCCGCAATCATGGTGTGGGGGTACGAATAAACAAGAGGCCACAGCTTGACCAAGAAGCAGGAGGTGACCAAGACCCACCCACCGCCTCTGTCTAGTCAGAATTATGGATATCTGCTTCACATAGTGGATGTCCACGACACGTCCAGGAAGATACTTTGGAGGAAGTGTTTACACAATGTACTGTGGCCAGGCTTGGTTACTGGACAGATTGTCAGGCCCCTGCAAATCACAGTGAAGATGAAGCCAGAGGCATGGTGCATGCCTCTAATCCCAGCTACTTGGGAGGCTGAAGAAGAAGGATCAGGTGGGAGGATCGCTTGAGCCCAGGAGTTTGGGTCCAGCCTGGGCAACATAGCAAGACCCTGTGTCCACAAAAACAAAGGGGAAAAAAAAAAAAAAAAGAAAAGGTGGCTTACAATCTTTCTCATTTCACTTTTTTTGATAAGCAGCTGTCTAAACTCAGAGCTGTTGAATTTCTCATGCCCTGGGTAGCAAAACTTTAATATTGTCCAAAAAAATATTTCATAAGGAGTAGAGTGGCGAGAAAATTTTTCATTGTCTTAGTCCCCAAAGGACACCAAAATCAGGATGGAAATCAACCAATTCAGGTTTGCAATGAAAAGAAATTAGAAGCTTTTGTGAAAATTGATACTAAAGATACAAAGAAAGGACTCAACTCTCACCCCCCTTTTGGAAATCACTACTAGTTGTTGTTCATAGCAGTTATTGCGTGTGCCTTGTTAGTAGCTTCCAGGAGGCCTAAAACGGGCTCCCAGTCTGTATCTCTGAAGCAGTCAGTGATGCAAGCAGCAGTCCTATGACTGTTTCACAGCTGGGGCCAGGGTCCTGGAGCAGCACAGGGACCCAGACTTAGATAACAGCACTTTGGAGCCTCAACTTTGTTCATAGAAAACTGCACTTTCTTACTGATTCCTGTTTGAAAAAGAGACAAATTAAGGAAAAAATCTGTTTCAAAACCTAGAATACTTTCTCTCCGATTTTGATAGTGTATTCTCTACATATTAATTATGTACTAGGTTACCATGAGACATAATTGTAGTTTGTTATTTTAGGAGATAAAATATAGTTAAACATTTGGAAAAGTACTCCTATTCTTTCCCATTCTCTACAAATTAATCTTATTTTATCAGACAATAAAAGAAGTGCATCATGATCTTCCAGAATAATTATGAATTTGTCTCTTTTAGAGATACTGATTTTTACTTTATATTTTGAAGTGTTTTACATGCATTGAAATTTAGAATTGTTATGGTTTTCTGAGTTAATTGAAACTTTAACATTAAGTAGTGTCCCTTTTTATCTCTGATGATGCTTTTTGATTTAAAATGTCCTATGCCAGATATTAATACAATGTAGTAACTCCTGTATTAAAGGCCAGAGTAAATGAGTGCCGCTACCACTCCTCAAGGGGAGGAGTTAGAACATGACCTCCAGGTGTTCCCTTCTTCACCTACATATCCCCATGTGGTGCATCTGAAGTCTGCGTGTAGTTGCCGTAGTCAATCATTCTTGTTTCAGAACCATATGCATTTAAGTTAACCCAAATGTTTACCCTTTTCGTTACTTTTTTCTTTTTATTCTTTTATTCTCCCCCGGAGTCAGTTTTTTTCTTGTTTCTGAACACTCTTTAGTGTTTCTTTTAGTGTGAATTTGCAGATAACAAATTCTGTTTTTATTTGTTGCAAATATCGTTATTTTGGCTTTTTAAAAAAATTGCTTTGGTGCTGAGGATTGAACCTAGGGCCTTGTGGATGCTAAGCACTGGGCCGTATGCCCCGCCCTTGCCTTTATTTCTGAAGGACTTTTAGAGGGAATGGACTTCTAAGTTGGCACTTGCTGTCTATTCATATTTTGGAATACTTAATTATGTTCTGTCTTCCATTGAAAAGTAAGTGGTCAATTTAATTACTTTTGAAGTACCTGGTCCTTTTTTCTCTGTTTCCTTTAAATTTTATCTTTTATTTTTAACAGTTGTACATTATCTCTAGATATGATCTCCTATATATTTATCCTGCTTGGTTTTTGCAGTGATTTTTAAAATATGTGGGTAAATGGGGTTTGTGTGTGCACGTGCTCATGTGTGCGTGCGAGTATGTGCGTGCATATGTATGTGCGTGCATATGTATGTGCATTTTGGGAATTCCTAGTTGTTATCTGTTCACATTATGCATCTGCTTCATTTCCTTGCTTCTTCTAGGGGTAGCCCCATTTTCTAAATTCCCTATTGACCTATTTTTGTTAGTTGTTTTTCTTGGGTTTTGGTGATGTCTTGTCTTCTCATATATCTGGTGAGTTTATTTTTATTTTTTTATTTTTTAGGTTCTGGGAATTGAACTCCCAGGGGCACTTAACCACTAAGCCACATCCCCAGCCCTTTTTATTTTGAGACAGGGTCTCATTAAGTTAATTAGGGCCTCACTAAGTTGCTGACCTTGACCTCAAACTTGTGATCCTCCTGCCTCAGCCTCCTGAGTCACTGGGATTACATGTGTGTGCCATCAAGCCTGGCTATCTGGGGATTTTTTAAATCAGTTGTCAGATTCTGTATCCTAAAATTATAGAGATAAGATGGTCTGGGTGATATCTTCTTCCAGAAGGAATCTGTCTTTTGCTTCTAGCAGGGTGACTGAGCTAGGGATATTAGCAATTACTACCTGCCTTCATCCAATCATGTGTTGAGATAATTTAAAACTGGCCTTAGTCTCTCTAACAGTTTGTGGGTTTTTTTCTCCCTTATTTCTAGGATATACTTTTAGGACTTAAAACTGTGGGAAGTTTATTAGGACCTTCTTCCTTGGAAGGATCTGAATTCAAGTATTTGTGTTTGTTTTCATGAATTTGTCAAAAGTCTCTCCAGCCTCTCTTGCCCAGTATTTACTAAAAGAATTGGCTAAAACCTTTCCATAATAAACAATCCCAAATTCCAGATAGTATGTCTTATCTCTAATTTTATTTTTGCAATTTCTCACTGTTTTGTAGCTCTACTAATTTTCAGAAATTAAGTATGTTTAGTATTTTCTTCCATGTATTTTTAGTTCTCAAAAGGGAGTAGTGAGCTGGGCTCTACGGCACACACCCATAGGAGTTAAGCAGGAGGATCATGAGTTCAAAGCCAGCCTCAGCAATGGTGGAGCACTAAGAAACTCAGTGAGACCTGTCTCTAAATAAAATACAAAATAGTGCTGGGGATGTGGCTCAGTGGTCAAGTGCCCCTGAGTTAAATCCCTGGTACCAAAAAAAAAAAAAAAAGGGGGGGGGGGAACAGTGATATGTACCACTTACTCTGCCATTGGCAGAAAATTTCAGTTGGCTGCTTCTATGTAAGGAGTTTGGAGTCAATAAATAAATAAATAATCAATCCTTTTTCTAAAAGGGATTGAAACCAGGGGCACCTTTCCACTGAGTTACATCTGGACCCTTTTTTTAATTTCTTGAGACAGGGTCTCTTAGCTATCATGCCTAGCTAAATATATTTTTAAATTACCAAAATTACTTGCTTAAAAATGAAAATGTTCTAGTTTACAATATTCCTTTTTTCTTGTTAAGGACTTTTTAAAGTTGTGACATAGAAGAGAATGTTACCTGTGTTGGTATCAGTTTTATTATGATAGCTTCCAAACTTCAACAGTAGGAGAAGATTAACTGAAACTTCTCAGATGTTTTCTTTTTAAAATATTTTTAGTTGTAGTTGGACACAATACCTTTATTTTTATTTGTTTCTATTTTTCTGTGGTGCTGAGGATGGAACCCAGCACCTCTCAAGTGCTAGGGGAGCGCTCTACCGCTGAGCCACTGCTTCAGCCCTCAGATGTCTTCTTTAATACTATGATTTTCCTTTGCATCATTATTTGAAAATGATGTTAATGGAGACTGGCCCTAGAGCCCTGGGATTTTAAAATAAGAATTTCAAGAATTAATTTAATAGGATTACTGAGATTGTGATTCTCAACCTTTTTTATGCTCAGGCATAGTTTAAAACATAAAATTCTACACCCCCAACTTGGGGAGTGGGCAGGACAAAAAAAAAAAAGCTACTTTGCCTTTTGTCAACACAGTATTAGTCTCCAGGAGAAAGGAAGGCTTCCTTTTGCGGGGCTCCTTGCATCCCTGTGGAGGGAATGATGGAAACCCGTGAGTGGACAGGACAGCTGGCTCTGAAGTAGAACTGAGGTGAGTGCAGACTGCAAGCACACAGGGCTGGCCTCCCCTGGGGGTCCTGTGGTGACCAGGCCTCTTCACACCAGCATGCATTGGAGCTCCTCTGTGGTGACAGCAAAACTATTTTTAAAAGTTTTACAATTTATAAAGTTTTTAATAAACGTGCATTTTAATGTTTCAGAGAGGAACCTCATGCTGTGAATTCAGTAAGTATAGGAGATGTGCACTCCAACCAACACTTAATTATAAATCGGATAGTTCATAGGGGAGAGTGGCTGGCTGTCTGTACTGACTGTGAATAGGGTTGCATTCACAAGTCCCCCTTCCTTACATATCAGAGTAGTCATGCTGGAGAGCAGCTTGGGGAATAGACAACAGTGGGAAATCCTCCAGGGGAAAGTCAACGAGTTCCTACAGAAGCAACGTCTTCCTGTAGAAGCAAAAAACACGAGAAATAGAATTCATGTTTACTAATTTAAGTCAGATTATAAAGTGGTCTGTATAATTTGTGTACCTTTTATGTCTTTTGAAAAAAATGATTGTTTTCTTGGACATGAATGGACACTTTCACAGTGTCAGACACAGTCTGCTAAACCAACATGCAATTTTAGTGCTCCTATCTCTACTGACTTCTTTATCATCTTTTGAGGCTGGGAGTAGCTGAGTGACTTGCCTCAAGCCAAGAGAAGCAAAACACTAGTGGGTGTGTCCTGGGAAAACCTTTGCTTTCCCAAGAAAAGGGACAAATATAACTGCTGCCATTAGTTCTACTGTTCTTCCTGATGGTTAGTTACATGGTTCCTGCTGTATGGACTACCTTCTTTCAACCACTGGTAAAGACCAAAAGAATCACAGAGACACTAGGTCATGTATTATCTGTTCAACACTAGCAGCAACTGACTGCCAGTCCAGACTTTAATTATGTTATAAAAATATATTTTGGGCTGGGGATGTGGCTTAAGCGGTAACGCACTCACCTGGCATGCACCGGGTGCTGGGTTCGATCCTCAGCACCACATAAAATAAAAGATGTTGTGTCCACCGAAAACTGAAAAATAAATATTAAAAAATATTCTCTCTCTCTCTCTCTCTCCCCCTCCCTCCCTCCCCCTCTCTCTCTTTAAAAAATAAATAAATATA